TGTAAATGAATAGTAATTAAAAATTTTAAAAGATTATATTGAAGAATAAAGTAGAGTTTTGAAAATGTTTTTTCCAGTCATTCTCATTAAATATAATGAAAATAAGTAGATTTGAAAAACACTTTCTAAAACATTTAAACTAACCAAACATCAAAATTGAATTAAAATGAATCATTGCCTCCAAATAATGAACCAACCTTGTTTTATATTTAAGCAAAAACTTCAGTACTAATAAATGATTACATACAAAACCAGAACTATAACAATACATGTCATTGAAAACCAAACATCTCAAAGTAAAAGTACAACTCAAAAATTATATCATAGGTTTAATCCATATTATCAAATATTCTTGGTAGTTTTGAACATGGCTGCTGCTTCTAAATTCTTGTTTGTAATTACCTCCACCTCAGCGCTTTGCTTTCTTGATTCTTTTCCCTATGACAAAATAATACTCTTATCAATTATTAAATTACATTTAGTTGCATTGAATAATATTTTCCCTTTCTTAATCAGACAAAAAAATACATGACCATGAAATCGGAACATATTTAGTTGAACAAAAATTAATTAGTAGTAGTAGTAGTATGTATATATATATATATATATATATAAAAGATAATTGAATTAAAACAAAAGAAATGTTATTTTTATGTCAAAATCTTATTGTTAATAATTCAAATTTGAATACCAAATGGCAGCTAAGAAAATAAAAGAAAAGATATGAAGAGAAAAAAACTAGGGTGGAAACCCTCCTCCCCACTAGCACTTTACCTTCATCATATCATCATGACTCATTAAATTAAATCAGTGAATATAACATAAATAAATAACATACAACGACTAGACAAACATGAAATACTTTTTAGTGGTGAAGGAATTAAAAAAATAAACCAAGTAAAATTAATGAACAAACCTGTTTCCGAAAAATCACGAAGAATCAAAACAACCTCTTCCTCCTCTTTGGTAAGAGAATCCTTGAACATACATAGACTGTTTGAATCAAGAAGCCTCGAATGATACCTAGGGACTTCTAGTTGGCCTCTACTAGAAGAAGCTGCAGATGGAGGCAATTGTTGAGGATTTTCTGAATCAGAGGTGTTTTGGGGAATTGATGAGATGAGAGTAGAATCATGTTGAGAATCAAAAAATGAAACAAAAAACTTTCTTTGGGGGGTTCCTTTTACCCAACCCTCTTTAAAGTGAGATCTCGTATGGGCTGCTATTGCTTGGCTTGAATAAAACCTTCTTCCGCAATAAATGCATTGAAAAATTGATACTCCATCTTGTCTCTTCATTTTCTTTAATTTTATTTTCATTATTTTGAGGACAAGAGGAGTATTTATACAAAAGGGAAAAATTAGAATAGGCGGGTGGTAGGGATAGGGTAAGAGGGTTAGGAGAGAGATTTGGATAAAAAATTGTTTTGATTCCTATTTTGTTCATATTAGAAAATATCTTCATTTCTTTAATTAATTTCTTTATGTGTAATTAGTGAATTTATTATATATGTGAATAAGAAGAAATTAGATCTTAACAAATCAAAAATCTTCATATTTATATTTTATTATCGGATAAATTCCTTAAAATTAACATTTTATTTAAAACCTCCTAAAATAATTTGAAATCTTAACTACCCCTGTAAATTTGGTTATTTGACATATTTTATCTAGTACAATTTAGTCCTAAGAGAAAAGGAATACTTCTACATTAATGTTATTTAGTAGCTTACTCTACTAGTCTGTCTATAGTAAATTTCAGGACACCATCATCAAAAGCTTGATTTGCTAACCCAAAATCTAGCAATACTTTCAGTCATTCCAACCAATTCGAAATCATTACTCACTCAACTATAAATCCTACACCTTCCGACCAGTATTTGGAACTCTCTCCGTCCAACCCCCTCCCCTAGACCATTCCAAACGATTCTTGTCTAAAACCTTCTCGAACATCAAACAAAGTTGACGTGTCCTCTCCACATCTTTTACCTCCGTAAATCCCCTCTCATAACAGTTTGACTTCCACATTTCAAACAAATAAAGTACCATCAAGCTGTTAAAAAAACTGATTCTTACCCAGCCACCTATAATCACCCCCTAGAGGACAATACTCAATTTTTCCCTCAGCACATGCCACATCCTCCTCACCAGGTAGACGAAGAAAATCGCATGCATGAAGACTAACACGTTAAATCTGGGCTTTCTCACACTATCTTAAATACCACCAATCCCATGCATACCATATCTCAACTAACTGATCTCCAATTATTAGATCACTGCCATGATATCCAACAAAAATATTTTCCTCCTTCTATAATAAGCAGTCATTTTACCAACAATCAAATGCTCTTAAGGAAGAAAAACCCAAAAAGTAGATCCATTAAACTTCATCCACAGACCCCTTCCATGGACAATCAGCCCCAATTGTCTACGCGACCACAACAATCTCACTCTCTCAACCCCCTTTATCCTTGATGAAACAAGGACTCTAGGGACAAGAAGTGTTCTTCACCCTAGACTTGGAAGGAAGGTAAGTCCAAATAATACTCCAAAACCCAAACTTCCTTGCTCAAATTATCACAGAAGTAATGCATCTTACGATACACAACTACACCAACGAAGTGTGGTTGAACAATCTACTAATCCCCAGAGATGGCTCCCTCGCTATTCCTTCATATGCAAGCTCTTTGGAACCTCCCAACCCATTTCAGTTAGTTCGAGTGCAAACGAACGTCCCGTTCTTCTCTCCACATGAACTATGTTTGGAAAACCACTATTTCACCCTTGGAACCCGATCCTCAACCAGAATACAACCCTCCAGAACCCTATGGTGGAAGTCCCAATGGAAGTGGAGAGAATGAAGGAAATAAATCCCTCATTCACCAGGATATCAAACCTAAATAGTCTAGCCTAATGCTCATCTTAAAATGGTAGACCAGAACTATATCTATAAATGCCCACCAAACCTCAAGAAATTCTTGATTGTCTTTTGCCCCCCCCCCCTTCACCTCGTAGACAGCGAAGTTGCCATTAGTTTTGTGCCCTACCCTGAGGACTCCTTGAGAAGAGATAACGAACACCACCAACCTTTATCTCATGAATTCTGCTAATTCCATAATAATTTGGAACATTCGTGGGGCTCACAATGAACCCTTTATGAGAAATCTAAAGGACATCATTAGAACCCACAATCCTTGTATTTTGGATCTACTGGAAACTAGGCTCTACGACCATACAAATATAAAGAACCACCTCAACTTCGATGGAATGTTACAAGTCCCTACTATAGGAAGATCTGAAGAAATTTTTCTACTATGACATAACAACTTAGTGGTGGTGAACCAAGTGTCAAACTACAATCAAGAACTGCATGCAATGGTTCAGGTAACTCCCAACCAACAAGCTTGGTTACTAAATATTATCTATGCTAGTACTGACGTAATGTTCCCTAATAACCTATGGTTAATCATAAAGAAATAGGTAACTGGCACATAGGGCCTTGGCTTTTAGGAGGGGATTTTAACAATATAACTTGTCAATCTGAAAAATTGAGAGTTAGACAGTTTAACCCTTCGCGCGCTACTAAATTTATTAATTGCATAAACCATTATGGATTACTAGACCTAGGCTTTAAAGGCTCCAAATACACTTGGTCAAACCATCACCGCTAAGAAGGGCTTATTCTTGAATGCCTATATAGATGCCTAGCCACCAAAGACTGGATTCATGTTTATGACAACGCTATATTAATCACCTCCCCCACACCTACTCAGACAACTCCCCCCTTCTCCTCACTCTTCACCCCAATTTTGACTCTCATGCTGAAAAAATTCATTTGGAAACCTTCTGGTGCACGCACCAAAACTTTCATACCCTAATTCCTAGGAGTAAAGCTACTTTTGGTAATTTCCAAAAGGAAAAAATCCCAACTTATCGCCTATCTTGAAAGTATTCAAAAATTTCCTCACTTTCCCACTAGCTCATTTCTCTAAAGCCTTGACCAAGATCATAGATTAGAATATAATGATACTCTAAAAATCGAGGAAGATTATTGGAGAATGTGATCTAGAATTAAATAGTTGTCTTATGGGGATAGCAATACCTACTTCTTCCATCTATATGTTATTAACAGACGTAGGCATAATAAAATTAACCATTTCATCGACGACCTTTGAAATTGGATAGATAACAATGACCACATTCGATCCCATTCAGTAGACTTCTTCCAAAACATCTACACTACCTTTCATTCCACCTCCTCTGTCCATACCACCTCCAAAATTACACCTTCCTTCAAAATTTTAGATCTCTCTGAATTAGGCAAACCCTTTAGAGACGTGGAGATTCAAAACTTCGTATCCTCCTTCAAACCATTTAAAGCTCCAGGACATGATGGCTTACACCCCTTCTTCTATAAAAAAATATTGGCATGTTATCAGCCCCTCAGTCACAAAATTTATTCATGATATATTCCACAACCTCGAGATTCCCTCCATTATAAATCAAACCTATCTCTGTCCCATTCCAAAAACCCAAAATGCAAATAATCTTCATAATTTCAGACCTATAAGTCTTTGTAACACTACAAACAAAATTCTCACTAATATCATAGTCGCTTGGATAAAGCATCTCCTGCCAGAAATCATTGTTCTTTACCAATCCAGTTTCCTCCGGGGAAGAAGGCCTACTGATAATGCCATTATCATTCAATAACTCATGCACGAGTTTAGGACCTCTAAGGCTGCAATGGGTAACTTCATGTTAAAGCTCTACCTTGAAAAAGTTTTGGATAAACTGGAATGCTCCTTCATCTACCGATTTCTAACCTACTTCAAGTTTCCACCAAAAATTTCCAAACTCATTATGTCTTGCGTCTCTACGT